AAGAGCAAAACTCCGTCTCAAAAAAAAAAAAAAAGAAATAAATTACTGTTGTATATGCCACCCAATCTATGGTACTTTATTATAGCAGCCAAACAGCCTAAGAGACTGTTTATTAATTATTTTTCTATTGTATTATATAATTCCTATTTACTTCATGTGCAAATATTAAGGGGTGGGTTTTTCAATTCTGCTGTTTTAAAAATCCTGTTGAAGGAAAACAAAGAGTGAAGAGGAAGGAATTGAGAATTTTGAAAGAAAGATTTGCAGTAAAGATGATATTAACAACTTGCTCTTAAAATTCAACTGTGAACTAGGAGGTATTTCCAGACTCATGTGAGTCAGAAACTGAAATATTATTGAATTACATGTGTGCTGAAAGGGGCAATGACTTGGATTAAGATCCTGAAGAATCAGGTAGATTAACAATGGGAAAGGCCCTAGATTATAGTCTTGCTGAGGATGGAAATGGGTAAGAAATTGGGGATGTTAGAAGTAATCTCAGATAGGCTCATGTAGATCAGAATAACTGGGAATACAAACCTATTAGGATAACAGGAAAAGAAAAAAAAGTCATTAAAGATGGTTAGGCAACTATAACATTAAAATGCAGCTTATATTCAGTGTGCATGAAGGAGCGTAGGAAAAATAAATAAAATGCAGCTTATAATTTTCAAATCTCAAGTATTTAAAAAGAGTAAGACATTTTGACGAATGTAGTCATATTTATCAGAGGCAAATGATATATAATACACTTTATATATAAGCTGCTAAAAATTAACATTCAGTTAGAAAAATAAGGATATTTGTATGGAGACACAAATTACACAAAAAAGAGAGAGAAAAATAGTTAACAGCTTAAGGGAAAATGTTCAAACTTTCCAGTACTAAGAAAAAGGCAAAAGAAAATGTGGGCAAGAGAGAGGCATGTGTAATGATAGGAATACCTAAGGGCAGGGTTTAGTGGACATATTGAGTTGGAATTAGATGAATAAGAGACACATAATTTTTGTTTCTCCATCTCTCTTTCTCTTTTTCTAAAAAAGAATTTATTTACCACACTAAATAACTTTTTGCAATGGAAGGTGGGAAGAGCTGCAATCTTACCAATCTAATTACTTTCATTTTCATATATTCCTTTCCCACTGTTGCTCCATACTGGGCTGTCCATACTGGGCTGTCTCATTATTTAATATGGGAAAGAGCACAGTTTTAACTGGAAGCTGGGACTGTGCCCAGGGCCAAGAAAGTAATGGATTTTGTTTTTCTGATAATCAGAGTCTGGAAGAAATAGCACAGTGTTGGAATGGAAAAGGAACTGTATCAAGAATGGTTATTTAAAAATTAATGGCAGGGCAGGACCACCCACATTGAAATGACTTAAGCTTAAAGCCAATTGCAAACTGCGTTAAGCTATATTCATCTAATTGAGTGGTGCACACTTGTGTACCTTGATTTACCTTACTATGTGTAGTTTTAACACTGGGATTCTGTAGCACTGGAGAAAAGTGAATGATGTCCAGTGGCCTACAACATAGGCCAATCTCAGAGGCCATCACAAAACTGCCCAAGGTAATTATGATAATCATGAATTGCAGCCTTGTGATTAAAAGTTTATTACAAAGGCTCTAAGAACTTAGCTTAATTCACATCTCCTTCTAATCAAGTAATCAATCAAGCTAACAAATATTTATGGAGTGTTTACTATATGCCAGCACTCTGCTAGGCATTGGAAAAAGAGAGTGGACTAAACATGCCCCTTGCTCCTAGGGTTGGCAGTAGAGTAGAAAAACACAATTACATCACAACCTGATCAGATTCTGTGAACAGACACATAATTAGAATATAATGTGGTCAGGTTTGCAGTGTCCAAAGTCACACAGCTGGCTGTAGGCACTGTAAAGACTAGAATTCTAATTTCTTGAATCTGAGTTCACTGTGGTTTCTACAATATTGCCTGCCACATAATATTAAAAATGAGCAAATTAAAATAAATTGCAATTTCAAATTAAGAATCATTATAGATTTATTTGAAAATGACCAAACCTGGACGCAGCTGGATAGACACTTCTCCTGGTGTCACCTGGGTATTAATTTCATTTTCAGTGGGTATTGTTACATGCACAGGTGGGTATTCTATTGAATCAACTGAGCAGCCTTTGCTTATTAAATTGGAAACAATATCACAACGTTCACTTCTTGATCCATCTGAAATGAAATCCTGTTTAAAAGAAAGAAAATCACTGATGTTTTTAGTGCATATCATCTCAATTATATCCAAAGAAAACAACATAGCAAACACTGCTTTTTGGTATTTCGTATCATTTTAATTTCTTTTAATCCTTAACTTTTTACTTTTCCTACCAAAAAAAAAACCAAAAAAAAACCAAAAAACAAAAAAAAAAAAACAAAAAAAACGAAAAAAAAAAAACCCACAAAGAAAAATCCTACTCCAGCTTTCTGCATCCAAAACCTATTTGAGAAGGAAAAGCTCGGACTGAGGTTTCTCTAGTCGACGTATTTTTTCTTTTTTGGAGACAGAATTTCACTCTGTCATCCAGGCCTGGGGTGCAGTGGTACGATCTTTGCTCACTGCAACCTCTGCTTCCCGGGTTCAAGCAATTACCTTGCCTCAGCCTCTCAAGTAGCTGAGACTACAGGTGTGCACCACCATGCCCAGCGAATTATTGTATTTTTTTGTAGAGATGGAGTTTCACCATGTTGGCCAGGCTGGTCTCAAACTCCTGACCTCAGGTGATCTGCCTGCCTTGGCCTCCCAAAGTGCTAGAATTACGGGTATAAGTCACTGCACCTGGCCTGTTTGGCTTTTTGTTGGTTGTTATTTTCATCAATTTAATATAACATTCTGGGGATATATATATATGAGAAGGTTTTTTATTCTCCTATTCATGCCTGAGTCTTTTCGACTTCCAAACATAGCAACCTGCACAGAAATGAGAAAATTCTATCATATTCTCTTTGACAGTGAAAGTTTTCCTATCATATGTTATGAAAGTATAATTATGCTCCAAGCTTGCCCTCTGAACTCTCACTATGTATGACACCCTGCATCACACATATCAGGTAGGAGAGGAAGGGAATTCTTCAAAACTTATCATGTCTTTCCTGGATGTTAGAAAGGAACATGGGGCATTAAACTAGGTAATATTGATGAAGACTTTTTCATCCTAATTATTTTCCGATTACTTACGTAGAAGTATAGAAGGAAAGAGAAAGCAAAGTATGTGGAATGGCAGATTAACATGCTACATAACAATGCGGGCAAACTGAACACATCCTGTCTAAATTTTCCAGAGACCTTTTACTTTTGAGTAGCTTTGAAAACGATTCAAGCCAGGTTTACTTTCTTACCATTTATCTATCCTAATCATAAGCAGGAAAACAAAAGCCAAAAAACAAAAAAACCCTGCCTCTGCCTCCAGCCTTGCTGGTTGAGAAATCATTGGCGTCAGTCACATCTGTGCCTGAAGGGTGAGGGATCTTCCAAAATTAAATAATCCATTCTTCCTCGCAATGATGTCAGGCAGCCTGCAGGGAGTGGACAGCTAATGGTGTGGATGGTGGCTGAGTCCTAAAACTGGCTGCTTCCCCTGAGGTTGTATTATTAATGCAGGCAATCCTCCTGGTTTCCTAACCCTAATGAGTTGCTCCAGAGACATGCCAAAGTTCTCTACAGTCCTAACTCCTGCTGCTTAAGCCATGCCTCTGTGCCCAGTGCTTCCCACATTGCTTCATTTCATCCTCACAAGACTGGGAGGTGGGTACTATTTGTATTTCCATTTTAGAGGTATGGAAATCTGAGGTTCAAAGTGATTAGGTAACATGTCCAAGTGTATAACGTTAGAAACTGGTGGAACTCAGATTTGAATCCAACTCAGTTTTTCTTCAGAGCCTGTTCTTTCAATACATAAACTGGACTGCACTGTACTACATAGAATATTTGGGGACATGAGCTCCCAAGTGAGTTTCTGTTTTCCCCAAGATCCCATCTGAAGAATGTGGCCAACAGTGACAGGTTTTCCTTCCTCCTTCCAGCAGCCCTCTCCTTGCTCCTTGACCTAGCTCCTTCCATCTGACAACTGATTTTTCTGAATATGAAAATTCTTCTTTCTGTGGCAGGATGGACAGTTATTCCCAGAGCTGTGGCTCTCCAGATTATTTTCTTCTAGTCAGAGGTGTGAGAGGGAGAAGGAGCCCCTCAGAAACTGACGTTCTATGGCTAACATGTTACATGTGGCTGACAACTGGGCTTCTGTTCTGTCTTTTGAAGGTTCTTCCAAATTACCCTCACTAAAGCATTCAGCAGTTGACAGCAAATTGGCACAAACTTCAGGGCTCTAAGGATTTTCCTTAGTGAGCAGTAAAAATCTAAAATGAAGTACTGGTTTGGGGTCAGGAAATAACAAGCCATGAAACATTCTTGACAGAGAAAAACCTGGAAGCAAACACCAAATCTGAGGTTATAGAGATGAGGAAAGGGAGACGCTAGAATAAAGTGAATTCTTTTGGTCATTTGACTCACAGGAAGTGGTGGGATTGGACCCAGAAATTATGAAATTGTCCTCTCTATGACATCCCTGGTTCCAGGAGTTCTGATGAAGTACTTTCTAGTTCATGAATGACATCTGGTTTTCACAACGATGAAGCCCAGAGTCCATCTGGGAAGCCTTTAGGCTATCAGTAGGGAGACTTACTTTCAGATATGCCTACTGTTTCTTGAACCCTTCCCCTGACTGTTCTGACTTGCTTCCTAGAAGAAAGTGATGTTCACCATCTGTTGCTACCTTTCAGCTTTCTGTTTTCTCTAAGTAATAAAGGAGGTTGGAAAGATAATGGTAGGCACAGTTGTTAAGTCAGAGGAGACAAAAACTAGAGACTTATCTCCATGTCAAGCACAAGGTCACTAAAGACCTATTTGTTCCAATTCCCAGGAGTTACATAAGTGAATGTAAAATTATTTAGGCAATCTCATACAAGAAGAAATTCCAAGCTAGCAGATCACTTCTTCAGTGCAAATTACCAGATACAGGCAGTTAATTCTAACTGCAGATTACTGACAAAAGCAAACTAACAAAACAGCCCTGGAGCCAAGAAAGAAGGAATGCACTGTAATTGTTTTACTAAGAATTTTGTCATTAGGATTTGTCTCTCTTGGTAGAACAGAAAAACACTTATTTTGAACAGTAGGATACATAACCTAATCCTCAAGCTGAAGCAAGAATTCCACACCAAAGCCTACTGAACTATCAAAAGTTACTAGCTGTGGTTGCCAATTCTCTCTATAGAACAGATGGAAAACATAAAATGGTTTGCACTTCGTTTCAAAATTACCATAATTTTCCTAATAAAAAGGTTATACTTTATAGTCAGCCAGATACACTGTTTCCAAGCATAAAACAAAATAAAATTTTCCTTATGTGCAGCAGTATCTTTTTCCTGATGCACCTTTAGGACAAGGAATATTCGGAAAATGAAGTCATGCTATAGCTCAAGTCAACCATGAGAAAAAGAAAAAAAAAAGAAAAAGGCACACCTCTTGAACACACCATCCACAGTCTGGACCCAGTGCAAGGCACCTGGCACAGGATGCTGCATTTGAAGATGCACATCTATTGTCTTCTGTAAGGAAGGAGAAAACAGTTACAATTTACTCTCAAATAGAAAGGATATGTAATTCTAGACTAAAACGCATTCTGAAAACTGAAACAAGAGGACGTTTTATTACAAAAATCTAACAACAAAGATATATCATTTATTGGAGGAAGTTGGCCTGCTCATTGTAATTAATAGATACCTGGATAACTATGATTTCGTTATGAGTTTGGGAAAAGGAAGAGTGACAAACATGTGATTTGGATCAGACTTGGGGGTTTGGCTTCAGTTCTTCTACAATAGTAGAGGATGAGGATCCTTCAAATTTTTTAGTAAATTTAAGTTTCACTGTATTTCATATTCTCTGAAGCAAGTAGGTGTTTTGGGTTCTAGAATTTTTCCTAAAAACTTATTGTTTATAGACGTAAAACTTAGTATATAAATTCACATTAAATCACAGTGAATGAATTTGCTGAGAAATAATCTTGATGGACATATAAAGTAATTGAGAATTCTAATTGTGTTAATATTAATTATTTTGGCTTGAGGAATATCAGAATCAGACATACTGGCATGATTCAGTATTTTAGAAATAAAGTGGTTAAACCGAATGACTTGTTTTAGTTAATATAATTTCTCAGATTGGATGACTTAAGATCTAAGATCATGACTAATTGATATTTCCGTAGATTCCTGCACATGTCCATAGTATTTTAATAACACAGTTGTGCCTGGCAATTATTTACCTTTATCTCTCTATCCACTAACTGCTGAAACAATTAAAATAAGGCTCATTATTATAGGTTGGAACACAACATATGATGCAGAATGAGTCATACATCATTTTATCATGAGTTTGCAGTGGAACAATCACATACTTTCTAGAGCCTATTCTTTACCATGACATGTTCTAAGGACAATGAAAGTCACAGTGTGATATGTCCATCTCACTCACAGCAAACAAAAGGGACATTCTGGATATAGGTGGCTCATCAGATGAGGAGAGAAGCACATAAGCAAACAGTATCACATAGTATAAGATGCACAGAAAGATTTCACCCAAGTGCTAGAAGAGAAGGGAGAAGGTACCTCTCACTCTGCTTCAGAGAGGGATGGATAGGGGTGGAGGAAGAGTGCATATTTAAGGATTGCTTCCCAGAGGCAGTCACATTTAGTATCTCTTTGTCATCTCATTTTCTTTCCTCTAATCCATGTTTATCACTTTAAAAATGTATTACATATAAAAGAAAAGTATGTGTGTGTGCACATTCATGCACTTGTGTGCATGTGCACAATCACACATGGACGTGGTAATTTTAAAGGGAATGGAGACCACAAAATCTCTAGCTAGCCACATTCCAACTGTTTTCTCTTTTTTTCTTTCTCTCTCAACTTTTCCCAACATTCTGGAAATACAGGATAAAAGCAGTTCTGACCTGGAGGTGGAGGGGAAGAGAGAGGAAGGTAGTGGGAGAAGAGAAGAGGGGGAGCAACTGTGTTTACTCCTGTGTTTATAGTTAGAAGTGCTAACTGGGGTGGTATGGAGCACCCTTCCCTGTATTTCCCCAGACATTCAATGGAGTAAGCAGAAAACATCTTTCCCTAGCGCCTCTAATATTCTATTAACTCTTCTATGTATCTCCTTCTATGCTTTGTTCTTCACTTTATATCAACGTTGTATATACATTGACCAAAACTTCTTCACTTCACTTATCTTCCTAGACCTGGCCTAGAACTCAAAGAACTAAAGGTAACTCTGAAGTTTTGGGCTTCCTCTACCACCGGCTTCGCTACCCAAAGTATGAAAAGTCCTTACCCTAAAAATTTTCCATGTGGTATAGACTGCCAAACTGTAAAATCTGCTTACTACTAAAATGTTTACAAAAGTGAGTGATGCTTTTAGTTTTGTTTACAGAAAGAAAACCAGTTTAGGACTAGACATTAAGCACATTTGCAAACTGCTGCAGTCTGGGTGTGTCTCCCCAAATTCATACATTGAACCTTAGCCTCTCTAATGCCATGGTATTAAGAGGTAGGGCCTTTCGGAGGTGACTAGGTCATAAGGGCCCCACCCTTTTGAATGGGATTAAGGCTCCAAAGCTTTCAGCTTTCTTTGTCCTTCTGCTCTTTCATCACGTGAGGACACAGCAAGTCCCTCACAGGACACTGGATGCTGGCATCTTAATTCTGGACTCCCAGCCTCCAGGACTGTAAGGAGGAAATTTCCACTGTTTATAAATTACCCAGTCACAGGTATTTTGTTTTAGCAGTATGGATGAACTAAGACACAGACCTAACTTGACTTCTGCCAACTTACTTAGCCTTGACTCAACTAAAACATGGAATTAAGTCTATTTCAGTTCAGACCTGACCAAGCCTTTCACTCAACATGAAGACTTTTGTGTTGGCAGTTAAGGCTGCAGGCTCAAAAAGTGGGCAAAGAACATGAACACTTCTCAAAAGAAGCCTTTCATGTGGCTAACAATGTGAAAAAAAGCTCAGCTTCACCAAGCATTAGAGAAATGCAAATCAAAACCACAAGGAGATACCATCTCATGCCAATCGGAATGGCAATTATTAAAAAGTCAAGAAACAACAGATGCTGGTGAGGTTGTGAAGAAAAAGGAACATTTTTTCCAAGTGTTCACATACAATAATGTAATTGAAGGAACTCCAAAAAGAAAAAAGGCTGCAGTCTCAAAAGTAGATCTACCATTTGATTCAGCAGTCCTACCACTGGGTATCTATTCAAAGGAAAAGAAGTCATTATATCAGAAAGACACCTGTGTGCCCATGTTTATCACAGTACAATTCACAATTGCAAACATATGGAATCAGTCTAAGTGCCTATCAGTGGAAGAGTGGACAAAGAAAATGTGGTGTGGATATACCAGGGAATACTACTCAGGCATAAAATATTATAACGCCTTTTGCAGCAACTTGGGTGGAATTGGAGGCCGTTATCCTAAGCAAAGTAGTTCAGGAATAAAATATCAAAAAGCACGTGTTGTTACTTACAAGGGAGAGCTAAGCTATAGGTACCCAAAGGCATACAAAGCGGTTTAATGAACATTGGAGACTCAGAAGAAGGGTTTGGGAGGGGGCTAAGGGATGAAAAATTACCTATTGTGTATAATGTACACATAGGAACAATAAGAGCCCAGACTTCATCACCATACAGTTCATCCATGTAATCAAAAACCACTTGCACCCTAATGCTATTCAAGTAAAAAAAAAAAATTAAGGACTGTAGTCTCATGGAAGGGAAGCTGCAGAGTCTAGGACTCTGGTCTTTGTTTCTAATAGTTGTCTGACTCTGTTCTAAGTTAACCCAGTTTCAAGCTCAGATAAGGCTCCTACTTCCAATTGTACACATGGTAAAAACAAATTTACAAGTGAAAATCTGTTTTCTTTGTATTTCACTCTTTCCTTTAAAAAGTTCTAGTGCCCATCTCTATTCTCAAATTTCAGACACATAACAATGATGACCCAAAGAGAGAGAAATGTTGGTCCTGTCAATACTTCCCAGGTTCCAGGACTGACATTTCTCAGGGTCTACATAACCACAGGAAAAAGATCTAGTAAGTGGATCTGGAGGAGGTGGCCTCATGGTTCTGCAGAACTGGAGGAAGGTCATAAATTGAACTGCATGGGAAGAGTGTCAAACATTATTTCTGGAGAGTGTCATGGTTATACTTCACAGAAAACATGCCAGATACACTTTGGTGTGGAGCATTTTAAGAATTTTTCTGTCTAATTTAAAAATATGCGAGTAAAATACCAAATATACCAACATCAATAATTACAGCAATTTTTTTTTCACTGAATGTTCAAACTATTATGAATGCTATTAGTCAGTGTGTGATAGGAATTTCTTCTCTCTCTCACACACAAACACACACTCTTTGTCCTTCCCTCCCCTCCCACAATGCATATACAAACACACCCTTCTGTGAAAGTAAAATCTTTACACTGCATATACAACAGTGCATGACTGCTGTTTACAGACAGGGGCAGTTTGTCATCAGCCTCTGGGTCTACCTAGTTCCTCTGCCCTCCCATCTAACATTACAGGAAAACTACTTTGCAGCAATGGTTTCCTAGCAGCCCTCAGCACTGCACTGACACCTCATTAGAGGGTGTGCCTGAGTGGTTTTTCCCACTTTATAATTATAGTTGCTGCTTGTTCAGCTATTTGCCTAGTGATGTCGCAATATGCATCTTATTCTTTATATTTGAGCACTGCATTTTAATAAGGGTGATTTTTTAAATTGATCCTATGGAAATTTTTAAGCCATGGAAGAAGTATTATAATATGCTAAAGCACAGATCCTTATATCTTCCTCTTGTGCTCATTTGTTTTAGTTCTCATCGCCTCATGAAGCCCATGTTATTAAAAATATACTGCCTTAGTGCTATCTACGATACAAAGACATGGAATCAACCTAGGTGCCCTTCGGTGGTGGGCTGGATAAAGAAAATGTGGTACATATATAATGTGGAACACAACACAGCCATAAAAAAGAGCAAAATCAAGTCCTTTGCAGCACAACAGATGCAGCTGAAGGCCATTATCCTAACCAAATTAATCGAGGAACAGAAAACCAAATGCATGTTACCAGTTACAAATGAGAGCTAAACTTTGGGTACACGTGGACATAAACATGAGAACAGTAGACACTGGCAACTACTCGAGGGTGAAAATAGGAAGGGGAGCAAGAGTTGAAAACTGTCAGGTACTGTGCTTAGTACTTGGGAGATGGGATCATTAATACCCCAAACCTCAGCATCATGCAATATACCAGGTAACAAACCTGCACATGTACACTCTGTATCCAAAACAAAAGTTTAAAAAAATGTACTGCTGGCTGGGCACTGTGGCTCAGGCCTGTAATCCCAGCACTTTGGGAGGCCAAGGTGGGTGGCTCACTTGAGGTCAGGAGTTCAAGACCAACTTGGATAATACGGTGAAACACCATCCCTAATAAAAATACAAAAATTAGCCAGGTATGGTGGGGCATGCCTGTAGTCCCAGCTACTCAGGAGGCTGAGGCAGGAGTGACAAAGCAAGACTCCATTTCAAAAAACAAAACAAAACAAAACAAAACAAAAACTGACTTGACAGAAATCAGAAAAAGATTAATAGCATATTGTCGATAAGTGTGTACATTCTAAGTAATTCTATTTCTGAATCTGTTAGCATGTGCTATGTGTCTTACATTTTCTCATTGTCTTACAACTGTAGATAACAGGTGTGATGAGGTGGTATTGCTAAATAGTTACTTGGAAGAAACTTCCAATGTTCCATAGCAGAGCTACTTACTAGTCTAGTTACCTAAACTCTCTAAGCCTCCATTTCCTCCACTGTAACACAGGGCTAACTATAACCATATCAAATTGTTGATGTGAGGATGAAGTAAGCTAAAGCGTGCCAAACAGAGTGCTCAGGGCACAGTAGGCATTCCATAAAGAAACTCTTGTAATGTTATTATAATTGATATTATCTACATATACATACATGTATGTTCATGTGTGTATGAAACTCTATGTTCAAAAAAACAAAGAAAGATGTTATGTGTCCTCAGATTTGTTATAAATGTAACATGATGTTTTTAAAATGAAAGTCCCTTGGGTCACAAAGACAAGGTTTTAAAAAAATAAAAATAGGTATTAAGTAAAAAGTTACTGCATTTATTTTTGTTGTTCAAAAATGATTCTTAAAAGTGAATAAGGTTGAATATACACACATCCATCCAATCTATTACAGATACAATTTTGTATTTACTATACAAATTAAATTTGGTATGACTATGAACTGGCTTACTGAAAATCTCTTAGAACACCTGCATTTTATTCATATTTTGCAACATGAACATTGATTTAAGCTGGATAACTTTTAAATTATTTCCGAGAATTAGATGTTTATGACATATGTGAAATGACCTCTATAGCTGTCTGTCATAAAATATAATAAATATCCATCATCAACAGGATAGAGTACACAAAAATCAGGAAACTGCATGTTTATGACACCCACTTAGGTATTCTTTGTTTTTGATGATGCCATTCATTCATATTATTTTGAAAATATTTAACTGATAGAAGTGATGGGGGAAGAAATGGACGAACAAACTCCCCAAAACTAAAAAGGCCAATAGAAGTTTCAGTGTTTAGAATGTGAGCTTTTCAAAAGTCAAGTGATCAGATCAAGTAAAAGTTTTTAAAGACATTTCTAGTTTTTTTCTGCAGTGAAGACTACAAAATTTCAACAACATTTAAAGGATGTTTATGGTTATCTGGCAGAAAGAACAATTATAACTGATAAAGACCGTAGTACTTGATATTAAGAATCAATCATTCTAGATTCTTCTGTTATTCCTAGAAAAGTGATTTGTGAGAAACACATTTTTTTCCAGGCAATATCCCTTTCCTAATTGCATTTACGATACAAATTAAATTAAATTTGGACAAGTGTATAAAGCTACTTCCTTAAAAAAAACAAGTAAACACTCTTTAATGAATATATATTCTACTTTGATAACCGTCAAAATCAGAGGAACTGAGCGTAAAGTTTAGAGTATAACTGGGTTTTCCTCCCTCTAAATATACATATCATGGCCACGTAAATATACCTTAAATATATATTACTTGATTACTGAATCTCTCTTTTACATGGAAATATATATGCTATCATTTAATATAAAAATTAAAACAAATAAATACATTGCCATTGTAATCATTTGCCATTACCTAGTTATTCCAAGTTTTTCTTTTCTTTTTTTTTTTTTTTGAGTTGGACTCTTGCTGTGTTGCCCAGGCTGGAGTGCAGTGGCACAATCTCGGGTCACTGCAACCTCCACCTCCTGGGTTCAAGTGATTCTCCTGCCTCAGCCACCTGAGTAGCTGGGACTACAAGCATGTGCCACCACACTCAGTTAATCTTTTTGTTTTTTGTATTTTTAGTGATCTTGATCTCCTGACCTTGTGATCCGCCCACCTTGGCCTCCCAAAGTGCTGGGATTACAGGCGTGCGCCACCAGGCCCGGCCTATTCCAAGTTTTGATTTGAAGTTTCCTAAAGTCCTCTATAAAAATAAAGGGAAGGAGTAGGTGCTTAGGCCCACTTCTTTGAAAATAAGGCACAGGAAACAAAACAAAACAAAAAGTCAGTTAAATGCTACCAGGGGTTAAGTAAAGCGGCATGAGAGAAAAGGAGGAAGCACAGAAAGCTCTCTGAACAAGGTGGATCTGAGTAGGGAGGTGTTGAAGAGGTAGAGAAGATGTATTACTGGGAAGTTAGTGCCTGAAATGATCCCTCAAAACAGGGGAAACAAGGACCTATTTGTTGAAATAGACAAAGAAGCAGATGTCATTAAAATAATGATAACACATCTGTGGTAAAACTTTAGCTCCTGAATTCCACCAATGCTTATTTAAACTGTGTCTTATAGAATTAATTGAACAAAATTCATGAAATTCAAAATACCTATAGTTCGCTCCTGAATGATGCTTTCAGGAATTACTACTCTCTGCTAGTATCACGCAGCCTAGACTGGCACATACCTCTCCTTTGCCTCCACCATGGTCTTTAATTTGTTTCAAAGTTGTAGCAAACAAGCATTCAGCCCATGGAAATGAAAATAAGCATTGTTATGGGACAAACTATTTTCTCTAAATAATTTGGTCTCTACTTTCACTTGGGAAAACATATAACAGTATTTATGTTTAGTGAAGACCAATTTGGATTCCTCTTTATGTTGTCTTTTCTGCTCGCTGCTCCAGTGATTAGGTTTGATCATCCGAACATATATTTGGAAGAGAAGGAGGTGGTATAATAATGTTCAATTCTTATATAGTAGCTCAGCAAGACATTGAGGGAATGAGGACATTACAAGAAAAAAAAATTGTTTTAATTCCTGAGAAAGACCCTGAGTAGAGATTGTTAGCAAGTGATTTACTGGAACAGGCAGTGAGACGTGGCAGCAAGCATCTATGTTGGTGTGATGGGAGTCTGGCTTCAGCCTGAACCCTCCCAGAGCTTTGAGCCCAAATGACAACACAAAGTTGTCCCACCTGCAAGCCTGGGGCCTGTTTTCTACCCCAAATGGGACTGTCATTGGCTGCAGGCAGCCTGGTACGGGGAGGAGTGAGGTTGGAGTAGGCTGATGTTCCAGGCATCTCTGAGCAAAGTCACTCCTTTTGGTGGAGGGCAATTCCTTTGAGAAGGTGGCAACTGTGAGCCATAAACTGCCAGAATACAGAGCAGCTGGAGATGGCACACCAGCCCTCTAAAAAGAGCATGGGTGGGGCACTAGCAATGTCTATGCAATAATCTCCCCCAGAGGGTGATAAATGGTTAGAATATTGTGGTAGACACTGCTGTTTGCCTGATTGTTCTTAACTAACAGACTCCTAGATTTGTTGAAGGTGTCATTGGGAACTGAAATGCCACAATTCTCACCTTCTCTTGCAATGACGATGATTGTGTAACTAATTATGATGATTTAAGTGGAAGCAGAAGTTTCGGAATGGGGCTTCTGTGAAAGTTTTTCAAAAAAGTCCCCCCCCCCCAACTTTTTTCTCCCTATGCCCATCCTGCTTCTTTCTGCCTGGAACATGGATGTGATGTCCAGACCCTCAGCAGCCATATCAGACTTGAGGGAACTTGTCTCACAGAAGCCAAGGCTAAAGACAACAGGAGGAAAAAAGCCCAGGTCTCTCAGAACACCACAGAGACCCTGTATCTGCTCCTGTTTACTCTCAGAACTGTGTCTGATGTGAAAGGAAATTTTACTTGAATCTTATTTCATCCTATTTTCAAAGACCGTCTTACTTGCAGATAAACACATTCCTAACTGATAAATTTTCATCTGAGTTTTGAAAGATAAATAAGAGTCTCTAACAGAATAAATGAAAATGTTTTAAAAGAAATGTTAAGCATAAAATTATTTGAAGTAGAACATCCACACTAAAGAGATGTATTTCTAAATACTTATTTGTTTGTTTTCCCTTGGAAAAGTAAGAATATCACAATATCAGTTACTGGGAGGAAAGGTGCTTAAATACATTTTCTTTATATACCCAGTATGTAAGCCTCATATATACACTCAATATATTAGCATATACTCAATAATAAATGTGTAATTAATAAATAGTATTCTAAGTAGAGATTAGTTTGGCAATTTAATTCCTGAATTTTTATAACTCTTGACTACATACGTTTTTAAGTAATCTTCATTTCCAAAACCTATTTATTGCAAAAGGCAGTGTAACTATGTTTACATAATGATACATAACTAGCTGAATTCATCTTTATGTTTCCACAAACAAAAACGGATTACTGTTTTCTTATACTTGGTCTTTTGATATTGTGTAGTTCAGCTGAACTAGCTTATTTTTAAAGAACTTTGAAGTTATAATAAAATGATACTGAATTAAAATAATCTTTCTTAATGCTGCCATCCTCAGGATGTACCACCAAATTCACTTACTTTTCCTTATTGCACAGGTCTAAAACAAATTTAAATTCATCAAATGTTTCTTGTCCCTTGAAAAGTGAGTATCCCTGACTGAGCAGAGTTTTCTTGTAATGCTGATTAGGAAACAGCACTATTATCTTTGGTTTTCAGTAGGTAGGTTTTTAAGGCTTTTATTGTATATAATCTTTATGTTTCAGGGACAAACTTCAACTTTTCCTGTTATATAGTGAGTAATTTATGTGATTATAACAGGGTTTTATGCTAGCATAAAGATCTTTGAAGAGCAAAAGAAAAACAAACAAACATGTTCAACCTTGGGCAGGTTAAGAAATGTTAGGGCAATGGAATGCATTCCATTAGTCTGCCCTGCCCTGTTTAGGGCAATCCCAGCATGAGTCACAGCTTAAAGTGGGCTGGGATGGCATAAATCAAAACTCTAGGTCATGAGGGAATTTACAAGAACCATTGTGAAGCCACTAATGACATCCATGGTGTTGAAACAGGCCATCATAAGAAGCCCGGTCACATGGGACCATCATACAACTTTTTATTATGATTCACCTATGCCCATCGTAATCAACCTTGCAATGAAAAAGCTCTGATTGCACACACATTGGGTGACTATATAATTTATGATCTACATTGGGACACTTTTTTACGTGAAAGGTGCATCGTTAATTTTACCGGGGCAAGAGGTGTAAACTGGAACTCTTCAGGAAAGTTGAAGTCTAAGGTCACCCTAAACATAGAGTATTCCTGTGTTGTTGAATGCAAAATCAAAACGATAAACAAGGCAATTCATGCTGAGTTTACAGGAGATATAAAAGGAGAAAGAGGACATCATGAGTTAATGAGGCACTCTTTTGACATAAAGGTAGACTTGAAGCTGGTTTTGAAGGATAGATGAAATACAGAAATCTGGTTAAGAGCTGTTTGATTATCTTCAGATTATACCTTATGTACATCTTGACATATATTATTTGCTGTGGAAAGGAGATGACCAAACATAAAGAATATTTGTCATTTATATTTGAAACTGACTTTGTAGTCCATATTATTTCCCAGGCAAAGCAATTTCTCTAGGCAGCCAAATGGTCACTCAACACACAAGAAGAGTAGTTCTTGAAGAGGAATAAATTCAGTTTTGCAATTGCTCATTTACCAGAATACTTCAATGTGCCTTTTGACACTCACCTGCTGGGAATTTTCAAGAATGACAGAAACAGGAAAAAAGATGGGTGTCAAAACCATATCGTCTCTCTGTACAGATTTTCCTACATTAGACTTGGAACTTGAAAAAAGGATCAAAATCTCAAGATTCCAGGAGGGCTCCCAAGGCCCCTCAATGGCAAATTCTGGTTAGAGCTTCATTTGTCTAACTTGGAAAAGCAATATTAGTCATGTGCTTTGTGTCTTGTTTTCACTGGAACTTTTCCATACATTCCAACTGTCCTGTTTATGAGGCACACTCCCTTTCTATAAAAGCCAAAATATTCACCGGTTTCCCACTCTGTTCCTCTAAATAATGTTTTCAGTCTACCACACTAGAGTTCCAGGGGCTCTTCCTATTTTCATTTCCAACTCTTGGCAGGTATAGATTTCCTTTCTCCATTTAAAAAAAAAGTACTCTGTTTTTCATGTCCAAACTTCAAATGCCATGGTTAAGGAGATTTTAAAAAATGCCCTAGGATAGTAGGAATGCATTCTCTATATTGCATCCTTTAAACTTAAATTCATATTGCAGGTGTGGACTTGATTAGAGTAACAAAGCAACATGCTATATTGTAAGATATTTAGTTATAAGTAAAAAATGAATACTGGTAAATTAAAACAACATGAATTTTAGGTCACTTAGGATTTGGTTTTCCTGTAATCACATTTGAAAGTTCAAAAATATATTTAATATCAAGACTCTGCACTTGAAAATTAAATCTCTACATACAGCACAATAAAATTAGAGAAAATTTAAAAAATCAAGTATCTGTTACATGATTACACTGTATTGGCCCTATGCCAAGCACTTTATATAAATTATCTACTTGAAGCTTCATAAAACTCCCATGAAGAAAGTTCTGCTATGCCCATTTTACAGATGGAGAACTACAGCTTAGAAAGGCAAAGTGTCATCTAAAGTCACAGAGGTGGTAAATACAGAGACCAAGTTTGAACCCAGTTCTGATGACAGAACCTTTTCTTGTTAGTACTGTCCTAGGTGGAATAGAGAATAACACAGAAAAAGACCATTATTCCAAAGTATGACTGAAAACCCCTTGCTATTTAGTACTATTATTAGTTCTTACTTGATGACTCAACAATAATCCCCAAGTACCTCTAGGTAATTCTTTAATACACGTAGTATGTCATTACTTTTATCATCAGTGCTAAAGTAATCCCATTTTCCCACTCTAAAGATGAGAATGTTAGATTCTCCCCAATAGGATTATTTTCCTTCCTTGGAGTCAAAGACTCTCCTAAATACTTTGGTACCCTTTTCAAAATTCATTTACTTTCTATGCACAGCGAAACTCTGAGTTTTAGCGTGAAAGCCCTAGCTTGAACACCTCACTGAGCACATGAAGCAGATTAGCTGGCACTTGTTCAGCAGAGGGGAAAGCTGTCCATTTACAACCATGTTTCCCCAACCTCTTGTCATGGTACAGCTCTGAGCTGCATTCTAATTAGGCAGTAGCACAGGAAGTGGTGTTCGAAGTTCCTATTTCTGTTTGTGAATTTCTAGGTCTGTCCTGAAAGCCAAATCTTGGGGAGAGGGCAACGTGTTCTGGTCCTAACCCTGCCTATATGCCGCCCTCAGCTTCATAAACTAATTTTGCTGAACTGAGGCTTTGCTTCCTCATTGACGATGCAGGAAAAATGTTCCCCTCATTATGTGCTGTGTTCCTCTATTGAGCTGTGAAAACATTTTGAAAAGTGGAGTGCAACTTAACAATGACATGATTGGTGGAGAACATTTGCTTTATAGCATGTACAGTTCTGTGAGTTTATGGGACTGTCTTAAGATACAATGTATAATAGAAAATATTTATTTTAAAAGGCCACCAAAGGCTGGGTGCAGTGGCTCACACCTGTAATCTCAGAACTTTGGGAGGCTAAGGCAGGCAGATCACCTGAGATCAGGAGTTCAAGACCAGCCTGGCCAATGTGGCAAAACCTCATCTCTACTAAAAATACAAAAATTAGCTGAGTGTGGTGGTGGGTGCTTATAATCTCAGCTACTCAGGAGACTGAGGCAGGAGAATCACTTGAATCTGGGAGGCGAAGGTTGCAGTGGGCTAAGATCACGGCATTGCACTCCAGACTGGGCGACAAGAGTGAAACTCTACCTCAAAA